TTCTGCATTCGGCTCCTTAAGCCACTGACTGATTTGTAACATAAATTACGCAACAACTCAGTGCAGTAGTCCTTGAGAAGCTAACAGTTGCTCAGTTAAACAAGAAATCCTTCCCCTCCTTTATGCAACCCAAAGGTTCAGTACCGTGTTCACAACAGCCCACCACTCTTCCCAATCACAAGGCAAATCAATTAAATCCACAATCTCCCCTTTAATATCCACTTAATTACTCTCCTCCCATCTATGCCTATTTCTTCCAAGTGGCCTTTTCTCAACAAGTTTGTAAACCAAAACTCTGTATGCTTTTCTTACATCTCCCATGCATGCTACATACCGTCCATCTCATCCTCCTACATTTGAACACCCTAAGAATATTTGAGGGAGAGCAGATTCAAATTACGAGGTTCCTCATCATGTAATTTTCCCTGTCCTTCTGTCTGTTTAGGTCTGAGGCCCAAGTATGTGTGCAAATAACATGGTTTGCAATTTTGTGCGAAAAATCACTAAAGCCTACATCAAGGACCCACTGCCCCTTAGGGCATGAAACCGGTGTTAATTTCAAATAATATTAATACCAATGTTACCAAATGGGGATGGGGCATCAAATAAAAAATTAAAGCTCTGTATGTAAGGTAAGAACACAACCATGAATAGAAAAGTAAAATACAGTCTCGTCGTATCCTCAGTCTTCTTACCGTAACTATGACACTACCGAGAAGCAGGACACTTATTCAAGCCACCGTGTCAGCCCGCTTCCTCCTATCCTGAAACACCATTTCACTCACACAACAGCGGCAGACATAACTTCAGCATTCATGCACGCTTTCCTCACTTTCATGTCAATACGGCATTGAAATGGTGCTTCAAGTAGAAAATAAAAACTGTAAAATTGTTATCGCAATCTAATTGCAACATAAAGGCGGCGAACAAATCAACAAAATTTAACGTGAATGCCAATAAACAATAAAAAATACAGCAATATTGTTCTTGTCCTGGCATTTAGAAGTTCATGAGTTAATCGCCTTAACTCTAACCCCTCCGAGTAAACAAACATCCAACACAAAAGTGCATTCACACGAAGCTGGGAGCATGTCTGTCTTCACACCGTCTCTGGGCTACAATCAAACTAAGAGTGCATAACTAACAGATCCTCAGAACAAACCTTCCTAATAACACGGCACAAAAAAGAATGCCGAACAACGCTCCATCTCGACAAACCACGGGATTTTAACCCTTTGATGACACAATGACATTTGCTTCGGACTGCCGCATGTCACATGGCTCCCACCAAAATCGGATTACAAGGAATAAGACAGAAACGTAAAGAAACATAATTTAGTTTCCTTACCTCCTTAATAACATTCCTCAGGAAGTAGGACGATGAATATGTCGGAGGCGGGAACTGTGTTACCGTTGACGCCATCACTCAACCTTCTTCCGTACACGACTTCCACTACACTGACTAACTGAACTCGTTTCCGACAGATGTCTGCATCCTACATGTATACCAACATGTAAACAAATGGACTTGAGTTTGTCTTGTACTGAATGTCATTTCACGTGTCCCTAAAAAAATTACATTTCAGTGGCACACTGAACGACATACATATATTATCATACAGTGTACATATTCTGACATATTCACTCCGTTCATCCCGAAAAAGGAATGACCCGAACAAATCTTTCGGCTTGAAATGCTACAATTTCCTCCGACACATAACTCTTTGGTGGCAACCAGAGGTAATTGTCGTACGGCGCGAAAAACAAAATATATTCTTAGTATTGCTCTTCAACGGACATCATAACCTATTACACTAAAATAACAAATTGTATTATCCGTTTCTGAATATATAATATTCGTCTCCCTTTCAATTTATACTGTCATGTGATCACTGAACCCCCACTCCCCATGGAACATCTCCACTGATATCACAAATCATTCTTTCGGCCTACACCCTGGCACAGCGAACGCCCACCACAGGCATGTTTCTCCAGACAATTCTATGTTAATAGCCTAACCCACGGTTCCACAAATCAGTGCCGTAGGGCAGTTTATAACAAATGGCATAATATGTCTCTAAACAAAGCAAATGCAACATTGGAATTCCTAAAGTGCCTTTCATGAGAAGTGCACTACACACCATTAAACATTAATAACAAAGTACAATTTGGATATAATAGGGAAACAGGTAGTAATAAATATGAGAGTATATTTTATCACGCAAAAGGGGAACAAGGACTTTTCTTTGTCATAATAGAACTTGGAACAGGAGTAATGCATAAAGGAGAGTGTTTTACTGACATGAAGTTGTAAAGACTAAACTTCAGGCCTTGTTAAGTACTTATAACCTTAAGGATGCTGTTAAGTTTCCTACAATAATTATTAATATGTCAGCTTCGCTAATAGATAATATATTTATTGATAACAGACATAGCTATAGCATTAGGCCATGTATTAATGGGCTATCTGATCACGATGTGCAGCTTGTTACTTTCATGAATGTTACTGTGCCTAATGGTGTTTCTGGCCCTACTTTTATAAGAAATATCAACAAGAATCATATTGAAGATTTTCAAAAGTTATTAAGTTGGGAACACTGGGGAAACATCTTTAAGAATAATAATGTTAATACTGTGCTTAACAATTTTCATAATATGTATCTAAGATATTTATATACCTGCTTTCCAAAAAAGAAGTCAAGCATAATGTTTATAACAACAAATGGATTACACAAGGGAGATTAGGATTTCATGCAAAAGAAAGAGAGTTCTCTTATTGCTAAGCAGGAATTGAAGATTTAAATCTTAAAATATACTATAGATTATATTGTAAAGTATTATCAAAAGTGATTATTGCCGCCAAGAAATTATATTACAATAGAATTATTTCCAAATCCAATAATAAAATGAAAAGCACACGGCAAATTATAAATGAGGAAAAAGGGAAAACAAAAAAGGATAACTGTATTCACTCTATAATGGTAGATAACAAATCAATAAAGAATCAGAACAAAATTGAAAATGTCTTTAATAAGTTCTTCCCATCTATAGCCGATTCAATCATTCCAAACAAGAATATATATTGAAATCAAGAACTACCCACTCCAATAGATTACTTAGTAAACTCATTTAGTGGACCTTACACCAAAATGAAATAGCAATATGCTTCCACTCAGGAAATCACAAGAATTATTAAATCATTAAAGACGAAGAACTCGAATGGATACGATGAAATTTCTAATAGAATTTTAAAAGTAAGCCTTTCATTTATAATTTCCCCATTGACTTACATTTGTAATGCAATTCTTAGTACATCTGTTTTCCCTGATAGATTGAAATTTGCTGTAATCAGACCACTATTTAAAAAAAGGGAAACTCAAAACGTTGCTAACTACAGACCTATATCACTGCTAACTTCCTTTTCTAAGATAATCGAGAAACTTATGTATGCAAGACTCATTCAGCATATCGAGACAAATAATATGTTGGCCCAAGAACAATATGGTTTCAGGTCTCATTCTTTGACCGAGCAGGTGGCCTTTTCATTGATAGATAGCATCCTACACGCTATGAATAATAAGTTAATGGTTGGAGGTATATTTTGTGATCTTCAGAAAGCGTTTGACTGTGTCAATCGCAATTATTTGACGTGTTAATATTTTATGGAATAGAAGGAAAATTTTAAACGGTATCTAACGGACAGATATCAAAAAGTTGTAATAGGTAACAGATTTGACTGCAGAAGCTCTTCTGAATGGGAAGTAATTAAGTGCGGTGTTCCTCAAGGATCAATCCTTGGTCCGCTTTTTTCTTACTTTATATTAATGACTTACCTTCAATAATCAACAGAAACAATAATATAGTACTTTTTGCAGATGACACAAATATTGTAGTAACTGACACAAACAAGCTAGATTTTGAAACTAATCTTAATCAAACTCTTAAAGACATTGATGCATGGTTTAATGCTAATTTGCTCACTTTGAATCTTAACAAATCTCAATATGTTGAATTTCGTTCCATGAATTATTATAACATTACTTCCAAAATTGTAGATGATCAAATTAAATTAATTAAGGTGTCAGAAACAAAATTTTTAGGTTTAATCATTGATGGAAACAACATATTGACTACGTTATCAATACAATTTCAAGGTCATGTTACGCATTGAGAAATATAAAGCATTTTATTCCATTAGATTCATTAAAGTCAATTTATTTTGCCCACATACATTTGATCTTAAGCTATGGCATAATTTTCTGGGGTGGCGTTTCCTGTGCTGGCAATGTTTTTATACTACAAAAGAAGGCTATTAGAATTATCACGAATTCTGATTCAAGTGTCTTGTAGACATTTATTTGAGAAGCTTGAAATAATGACATTCTATTCTCAATTCATATACTCATTAATTTTATTTACAATTAATAATATCCATCTTTTCAATTCTATTAATGAGATTCACAAGTATAAAACCAGATCTCTTAATAATCTCTATTTACCTTCTGTAAACTTAACAAAATACAGTAAGGGTGCATATTAGCAGGTATTAAAGCCTTTAATCATTTACCTCAAGCTTTAAAAGGGTTGATTTCTGACATGCTAAATTTTAAGAGAGCACTGAAGAGATTTTTACTTCATCATTCTTTTTATTCTATGAAAGAATACTATCAACTGGTTAAACGTATTATAGCTTAACAATTGTAATATACTTTTAGTCTAGAAATCTGCAGCAGTCCTATTTAAGACATTAGGAGCAACTATTGGATTGAATTAATGAATTTGAATATAGAAATTAGAATTTTAATAGTTTTAAATGTGTTTTGAAATATATATTGTATGGATCTATGGGAGTTAAATATGATGATGATGATATTATAAACATAATGGGTCATAGGTGTGTAATTTTGTGACTGTATTTGATTTAGTTAATATAGGTATTTTATATGAAATGGTGTAAATACAAGTTTTATAATAAGTTATTTTTTAAGTATGTCCATTAACTGAAATCTTATTCAATTCTTTTATCTTATAATATTATTTATATTTATAGATTGATGTAAGTGACTTTGTTTGATTGACTCGTGCAATTTTGTATATGCATGTTGATGTATCTGTATTCAAAAGGACCACTTCCACGTCCTGGTTTGTTAACCTGTATGGATATATATGGAAAATAAAATGAAATGAAATGAAATGAAATATACACATAAACATATTCTATAGATCCCAGTAGGGAGGATATAAACCCAGTCAGGATACATTAAAAAAATTACAAATGCAATACTGTTACAGAATATATACCAAGAAGAAAATAAATTGCCATAGCCATAATCACATATATTATTACATTATTAATCATTTCTTATTATGCAACACACTTTGCAACAGGTACAATTACACCATGCTCATTATGTCTTATTAGTGAAATAAACTACTAAATCAATTAGAATATATATAAGTCCCACACATTTAGTTCACTATCCAACATAAGAATCTTCACATATACACACTGTTTAAAATCAGACACATGATTATCATCTGTTAATCACTTATAATTAAATTCTTGAAAACAGTACAAGGTGTGAGTTACAGATTTTCCTTCAATATTACTTTAAATTTTGTGCCACATATGTTTAACTTTACAGGGGAGCTTCAATATTTTGGTCCCAAATGTGTTAATGGTATAATATTATTATTATAAATGTTCGTGCCCCAAGAAAAATTATGATGTAAACAATAACTTTTGTGATGAAATATTTTCATAAATTTCATGAATATCAAATGAAAATTTACTAGGGGATACAGTACTAAATTATTGCCCAAGAAAGCTTCATTGTATTTATGTACTTGCGATGAAAGCTTCAAACCTTTACACACCACAGTGGTCTAGCTGCTTATTCCCCAGCCCTGTGAATGACTGTGACATCGCTGGTAGAATCTAAAGCACAATTTATTTGTTTCCTCTTGGAGAATAGTACCTCCATTACTAAAACCCCAACAGAACCAATAATACCATATGCCAGTACCACAAGTGCAGGGTAAAATTCCTGAATGCCTACACTGACGAAGTTTTGTCCTGCTGTCTCACACTTAGGTTTATGGTAGAACCAACGTTTGCCTTCACGATCAATCAGACCAACCTCTCGCAACCAGCAAGTCCTGAAACATTGAATGTTCAGAACAGGACATTTCTCATGTGGTTCGACAACAGCTCTACACATTGTCATAAGACCTACAAAACAACGTTGACCATGAGTACAAGGTGTGGCAATAAAGAAACCGGATTCATGCTCTAACCCTTTATTAAAAAAAAATCAGACAGTCGAAATGTTATCCCCTTCAATGTAGTCCCCTCCCCGATCCCTACACCGCTCCATGCGAATTTTCCACTGTTGGAAGCAGTGCTGCAGGTCATCTTGTGTTATGCTCTTCAAGAGTTGCGTCGCTTTTGCTTTCACTGCATCCACGGACTCGAACCTGGTCCCTTTCAGNAACACAAGCAACCTCTTAGAATTACACATAACACTCTACCATTGACAAAACTATGCCCTCTTAACTGCTGATCTGATTTCCTTGTGTATAATAAATACCATCTGTAAGTGATGATCCTCATTCCTACTTCCATTTCAAAACATATCATTGTGTGCTGGTGCCACTCTCATCCCGTCTCACCTTCTGTACTTCCGCTAAATCAGAATGACACCTCACTATATTTCTTGCTCAATATTTCAATAAATCTGCCTGAAAGATAGCTCCAAGACTAGTATTCTTCCATATTCTTGTATACAAAATATATTATATGAAACTGTCACTACAAAAAATTTATTGTAAGAGTTTGACGGATTTATGTGTTTTCAACCCTCCTCCCCCAGATACACAAAAAAGGTGGTTTTGGAATGCAATCTATGTAAATATGTAGGTATGTACAGATTCGTCCCTTACAGGTGCCACAATATTTTGACTGAATTTATTAATATTTGGTATTTGATAGTTTAACCACCATAAATAAGTTTAAGGAGATTAGGATAGGCATCATCTGCGTTGCAAAGCCTGGACTGACAGAGGACTTATACACAGTGCAAAAGCAAGAATTTTCAATAATATACTATACTGTACATGTGCGATATGTACACTTGACAAAGGCTAATCATATTCATAAGAGACAAACCCATTCTCTCATCAGAGAGGATGTTACATATGGACTATGACCACAAAAGTTCAGTTGAAAAGAAAAATCTCTGGTTATAAGCCTCAAAGGGCTGGTCACCAAGATGAAATGACTGCCTGTAAACTACTAGTCATAAAGTAAATCTGACTCTAATTCTGACAGCTGAGAGCTGCGTTAGGTCCTGGGTCTGAAGTCTCCCAGAGCCCTCACACAATAAAATATGGTTAAGAGTCCTGAGGGCCAGAAGCAATTTAACAGACAGTCAGTCAGATGAAAGCCACGGATAGCGAGTGACAGCCAGACAACCAGTGAGTAGACAGTAATGGCTATGAAGCCATGAATTGCAGTTGAGTCAGTCATGAGATGGTGCTCAGCCGCCAATGATGTAAGCAGAAGAGTAGAAGAATCTCCATTATTGGGAACTGTTACCAGGTAACGACCAGTGAAGACATAGAAGACTTTACGTGTGCTAAAGTACAGAGATTTTCTGAGTGTGTAGAACCGTAAAACTGTTATAGTTACCTGTAGTTGTGAGTTATAATTGTTCAATAAATCCAATTATCAATCCAAACCCCAAATCTAGTCATTAATGCATGACAATAAAAATGTAAAGCTATCGCTGTAACAGGCTGTGGAGACCCACAAGGTTGTGAAATGTCGAAGCTCCCACATTTTCTAGACAGTTGGCTCACAGACGGCAGTGAGGTTGTCAGCCTTACATGCCAGCCACCCTTATTGTCACTAAATAATCTTTAACATAAATGTATTTCAGCAATTTTCTTTATTTCTCCCTACCTTTCCTTAATATGTGGAATGTAAGGTGAGCCCTTCCTTGCAGTAAATGAGAGATGCAGAGATGAAAACATTCGTATCTCTTTAAATCTGCATTTCTCATGATCTTTGTATGTATCGCTGATAAATTTATATGCTCCTGCAAGTCCATGGAAAGCATATAATCCTCTTCGTATTTTCTCCATTCCAACAGTTTCAGAAGTAAATGCTTCTCGAAACGGTTGAGTGTATAACTTCTCTTTAAATACCCTCGTCACTTCAGGATCTGTTGTTTCCTGAAAGATAAATGCAGATATAAAATAGAAACTACTGAAATGATTGCATGAATGAATCATATAAAAATGCAGAACTTACATTTACAAAAATATCAATCATGCTGAGTTTCAGACGACTCTTCATGAGATCCTGTAGTGTGTTGATTGCATCACTTGAAGTTTGCAAGAGTGATACAATAGTTGCAGAATAGGATGTAATAAAAAACACAGCGAGGATCAGCATGAAGATGAAAACGATTCTAGATGAGATGTTCTTTGGGCTGTGCAAAGCATCTGTAATAACAAAGGGATAATTAACTGACCAATCAAATTTGTGAATACAATATTCTGATGTATGTTTATGATAAACGAATATAAGCCATCTGACTATTATAATGCAATAGGAAGTGAAATAGAACCGGGATAATTTAGTTCGTATAGTAGGCCTCAGGCTGGATGCCTGGTGAATCAGGGTTCAATTCCTAGCACAGATTAGATAGTTTTCTCCACAGCATCCACACTGGCTCTGGGGACCACCCAGCCTCCTGTCCAGTGTGTATCATGAGCAGTTTGGTATAGCAGGTTGGGAATGAAGTTACAAGCCAAATGCCACTAGTCCCACAGACAGAGTGTAAAAATTTGTAAAACTTGGATCCATAAAAGTAAAAATATAAGTACAGAATCACCTTGCTGGCAAACAATAGCCAAGGAGTCCATAATGCTATCGCCCCACCCAACAGAGTAGTCCGATGAAGATGGATTTACATGCTGATATATTCGTCGTGTCAACACCAACACAGCTGTCAGTATGGCCACAGTTATGGTATAAGTAATCCACACTGAAGTGCTGAATGGCAACTCATATATCACTGACACACTGGACAGTGAAGGCTTCAGGAACATGAAGGCTCCCCTAAAACACAGGACCTCTGTAAGAGACACAGCACTGCTCTTACTGTGACCCCACTGTGCGAAATACAATCCCCTATTCCTGAATAATATTTATTTTAGATGGAGGTGAGTACTAAACATTCTTAATTTCTTTTGTGGTAAATTTCACAACACTGCCAGTAGTTAAGCTACAGTGCTGAATGAGCGGACGAAAGATAAATTAGAAAGGAATTGGAAGGAAGTGTTCAAAGCCTAATGAAAACATCATCCTCTCAACTGATCCAATAAAACACTGCGGTGCATAAGAATGCACCAAGGGTATTGGTGTGAGACTAAGATTCTATAATCTTTTATTTAAGAGGGCAGCAGAGATAACAGCTATCCTGATTTCACACTTTTCTCAGCCCTACCAGGCAGCTGAGTACTGAGAGTTGACATGGGGGTACAGCAAACAGTCACTGCTAGTGCTCAGACCACTACTGAGATAAAATAAAAATGTTATACTCCTGGTCCACTTCCAAAAATGTTTATGCTCTGCCTACCAGTAATACAATGGCTAAACTGAAAACAAAACACCTTTGAGTTTACACCATACCTAGAGAAGGCAATTTTATACACTCAGGTTCAACAACATTTCCGGTATCACAATTTTGTTTCACTTCATACATTGAAAATGGAGTCGCGTTAGTTTCTTATGGTGATGTAGTAAAGATCAAAGTACTCAATACTGATATACCTTCAAAGATACTTTATTCAGGGAATAAATATGTTACCTCTGTGGTATCACACTGAGACACTTGGTCGGAATTTGGCTGGAAGTGGATGTCATAAATAACATCTCTGTGAGCCTGCCTAATCACTGTAAGTGAACCTACACAGCCAACCACATCCACAAAAGTAATAAACAAAACCCACAGGCTTCAATCCTTCAAACCACAACAGTAAATACATTTAAAAAAAGAAACTCTGCATTCTGCTCACACAGTGTGTTTATGTGTTCTGTATGGTTCTTACAATAAACAGCGATTTTTTCCTAAACAGCATTAACCGGTTGGGCTTTGTAGTGGACAGGTTTCCTGTGAGGTACGGACTGAACTCTGCATTCTGCCCCCACAGTGTATTTGTGTGTTCCGTATGGTTCTCACAATAAACAGCGACTGTTTCCCTAAACAGCATTAACCGGTTGGGCTTTGTAGCGGAGACGTAATGTGTTTCCTGTGAGGTATGAACTGAACTCCGCATTCTGCCCACACAGTGTATTTGTGTGTTCCGTATGGTTCTCACAATAAACAGCGACTGTTTCCCTAAACAGCATTAACCGGTTGGGCTTTGTAGCGGAGACGTAATGTGTTTCCTGTGAGGTATGAACTGAACTCCGCATTCTGCCCTCACAGTGTATTTGTGTGTTCTATATGATTCTTAACAATAAACAGTGATTAGTTCCCTAAACAACTCCCTGATCCTTATTATGGAGCGAGAGTGTTCCTATGAGGTAGGAACTGAATGTTTACTACTTATTAAGACGAATTTCATGCTTCAGAGGAAAGCCAAATAATCTTACCTGAAGAGGATTGTTTCTCCAGCATAATCAATAGCAGGCAACCGTTCTGTTTTAAAAAGAAGCCCAGTGGCACCAATCTCACAGTTACCACACTGTAGCAATCCTACTGCACCATTGAAACATTCTGATCCATTTATGGGATAGCCCCAAGTGTCTGTGAGGCAAAGTTCCATTCTGCAATATATAATTACACTCAACCATGTTCACAAAGACAAACAGATGATTAAGAGCTGTTAGTCCCATCTCTCACTTCAGTCTGGACAACAAAATAGAGGCAAAACAAAGGATCAATAATAACATCAATCCCATTTTAATATCTTCCCCAGGGCCAAACCATAGTTCAGGTGGTCAGTCACCAGGTTCTTACTATCAAGGCATAAGGCCATGCCATAGCTCAAGCAGTTAGTCGCTGGCTTCCCACCACGGCAGCCCGTGTTCGATCCCAGGTCTGGTCAAGTGGGATTTGTAGTGGACAAAGTGGCGCTGGGGTGGGTTTTCTCCAAGTACTTCGGTTTCCCCTGCCAATCTTCATTCCACCAAATTCTCCATCATCGTAATCACCCGGGGTAGGTACAATAGGCCAATCAGTGGCCACTGTGCCAAGTGGACCCAGCTGGACTCCACCCACCACTAAGCAACTTTAAAAAAAAATTACTATTAAGGCCAGGGTTCAATCACAGGACAGTTAATGTTGGATATATGGTGCATGAAGTGACATTGGGACAGGTTTCTGTCCTAGCATTTTGGTTTCCTTTTCCAATTATAATTCCCTCAGTGCTCCATATTCATCTGTTATTCAGAACTGGCACAAGGGACCTGCTTATACTCTGAATCGCTGCAGGAGCTTTCAGGTGAATCTCACTGCTTGACCTGAAGGTGGCTCTTGTTCTAGCAACATACCAACACTCCCTCCACCCTCTTCTGAAAAGTTCACAGACCCAGTTATTTCCCATACAATTCATAACAAACAGTCTGATAGAATGGGCAGGTGTCCATATTTAGCTCTTGTGACAGTAGCAAGAATTTGGTCTCACCTCATGGCAAGAATATAAAGAAGATAAATAAATATAACTCTCTCAGGGATTGGAATCATAAAATGGAAAATTCACACATTTTGAAGGGCCTCTGTCCAGTAAATTTGGCGTGACAAGATTATATGTTACCTAAAATTCAGCATTGTAGCAATGTGACTCATAAGCACAAAATGCACCTTGCTGTCTGAGTTGATATGTCTGTACTGCAAGTCCAGGAAATTTCTCCATGTGCCTTCTGCCAGCTGTAAATGAAATAACAGATATTGTTTTAGTCAGACATAATTGCTTCGTGTGTGTGTGTGTGTGTGTGTGGGGGGGAGGTCCAATCACTGCAGTCTGAAAAATCTCAGTACCCACTGACCATGACAGAATTATGAAAGAGTAACTCAGACCGAACAAATTGGTACAGCAGTAACACCCCATACTTGTGTTTGCTAAGTGCCCAGTTCAGGGACACCAGCTGTCCTCCTTATCGAAGATTTCTGTGCTTTTCATCAGTCCCTCCATGCAAATGTTACGGTAGTACCTTGATCAGGCCAAGACTTTTTCCTTCCATGTCTTTCCAATTCATTATCCACCAGTCAACCTACCATTCAGTGCTGTATTCCCAACAGTATCACACAATAAACCACAGACAAGCAAGCAAGAAGGAATCTGATCCATGTTGTTAATTAAAGTGTGTCTCAAATATATCTGGCATTGCATCATCTTCAGACAGTCATGCAGTAATCATCAGAAAATTCCTAGACTCTATTTTCAAAATATGATACAAACCAAAATCGCCATACCATAGTCGAAGAAAGAGAACAATTTTTTTCCAAAATGTTGCCTACTTCAGAGATCTTTCAGACAATGCATATATACACTTCACACATCTGCACTTGCTCTAAGTGCAATTGATATCCATAATTCAGACTGAAGTACACTGACATCCCTCAATATCATAACAACTGCAATTACCAGAAGTTTATGCAGCATACCACAGTAACAGTTGGAATAGTGATCTCTCCATAGTCGGTTCGCTTGGGTCCTGCAGGAAGCTGTAGTTCTGGGTTCCAGTAGCGAGGAGGGGTGACAGTCAGAGACCGGCCGACTCCAACATGATACAGATCCTGAAGAACTGTCTGGTTTACTCCAGGCACTCTGTAAGCCACAGTCACATGGCTGTCTAGGGGCAAATATAATGGTTCCAGAACTGAGTGTGGCAGCTCTTCTGGTGACAGGAGCAACCAGTAGCGCAGTCTGCTGAACAGCTTCTGACTAGATGCCTGCAGAAAACACACACCTTAATTCTCTTTTTTTAATTCGCTTAGCGGGGGGTGGAGTCCAACTGGGTCCACTTGGCATGGCGGCAACTGATTGCCCTATTGTAGCCTGCCCTGGGTGATTATGATGGAGAATTTGGTAAAATGAAGATTGGCAGGGGAAACCGAAGTACTCGGAGAAAACGCACCCCAGCGCCACTTTGTTCACCACAAATCCCACTTAACCAGACCGGGGATCAAACCCAGGCCGCCACGGTGGGAAGCCAGCGACTAACCGCTTGAGCTATGGCGCGGCCAACATACACTTTAACATACTACATATCCTACGTCCTTCTCCCATGCACTGCCACACACAATCATACTGTAGGCTTCTGTGTTCTTGCTGTGCTGTCAGGTAGTCAGATGGGGGCAATGAACATTGGTACACTCCTGGCAGACTACTGGGTGTCATAAGACACACGAGTTCAAAGGCCGAAGCTCAAAGTCACAGGACTCTTGTACTAGCACACTTAATAATACTTAATACTTAAAAATGTTATTTTTTTTTGTAAATATCCTTTTTTCCAAGGAAAACAACTGTGTTATGTTAGGAAAATCTGGGGATGATCTGAGTAACTTAACCGTTTAAAGCAGACTGGTAACTATACATACCATCTACTTCAACGTTAAAAAAACATAACTTTTGCCAACACAGTATATTTATGTGTTCTATATGATTCTCAAAATAAACAGCATTAACCAATTAGTCTTTCTGAGATGCAGTGTTTTCTATGAGGTAGAAACTGAATCCTTATATATTATTCAGACCAATTCCTGACTTCAAAGCGATAATAAAAGTTCAAATGCTTTCAATGAGTTCAATCTACTACCCTGTCTTGGCTTTTATTATAACTCCGCATAACAGCAATGTGTTCTTTAACTATAAAGCCATTATTCTAAGTACCGTTTGCAGCAGCTGGCTGCTCCATTCACACTGCACATCAACGATCACAGCTAATGGACAAAAGCTGGTCTGCAGCAACAAAGTCATGTCTATATCAGAGTCTGGCATATGAATCTGTGTACATAGGCCCTTAGCAGAGCAAGCTGCATTCAGATGTAGGATATCTGGAAAGGAATCCACAGTACATACTTTATTCCTTAATATTAATCATACTAAACAAAATACTATGCTATATTTTAGCGTCCTGTTGCACTGATTTAAGTCCATGATTTATTTAATTCGTCTTGCAGTGCATACACTCATTTATCTCCTTCTCTCCCTCGCACTACATGTTTCAGCATAATAATGCCATCTTCAGGTGCTTACTTATCCACGTCAAACCAGTTCATTGCATGCCATGTTCACACATTAAAATAACTAAAATATGTATCTATCATATACATTGTCAAACGT